TGCAATAAATGCATTTTTGACTTAGGATATTTTCAACTTGCGATAAGTTTATCAGGACATAAGATGTAACGCTGGCATAAGTCAAGCAGCATCTGTAATCTGAGTTTCAGTGATTGGTCCAGAAGTGATTTCATTTTTTCCTTTACGTTTAGCTCTGCAAGCACTGGGCTAGAGAGAAGAGGTTGCTAGTTGTTGGGGCAGACCGACATACCAGCGGTGCTGAAGGGTAGGCAGAGTGCTGACCTTTCAGGTCAGGCAGCTCCATAAGGGATAATTCCAGTCCTGACAGGTATTCAACGAGCACGACTGGGGGACAGGCACCTCCTCACCCTCAGAGGCCGGCGCCCCCATAGTCCAACAGCACCACCTAGTGGACAGGTCCTGCACTGCACTGCCCACGGCTGAATCTAGGGCTGAATCTGTCACACCTTCGGCAAGTTACCTAACTTCTCCGTGCCTCAAGTTCCTCATCTATAAAAATAGGAATAACAATATTTACCCAGTTAATGGGGCTGCTGTGAGGATTCAACGAGTTAATAAATGTTAAAGATTTTAGAAAAGGGTCTGTCCCTGAATAAAATACAAATGTTTGCTACTATTATTCCCATTTTATAGACGAGCAAACCAAGACTTACTAAGGGATGTCCAACCTGTGGCTCACGGGCCGCATGCAACCCAGGATGGCTGTGAATGTGGCTCAACACCAAATTGCAAATTTATTTAAAACATTGTGAGATTTTTTGGTGATTATGTGTCACAATGTATTTAACATGTGGCCCAAGACAACTCTTCATCCAGTGTGGCACAGAGATGCCAAAAGTTTGGACACCCCTGTATGGTCAAGGTCACACAGCTCCTTAAGGCAGCACAGCTGGAGCCAAGTTTGAATGCAGGAAATATGACCTCACGGTCCATGCTCTTTATTGACTTCGTTTTTAGGCCTTTGCAAGACTGGCCTGAAGCTTCAGAGAAGAAAGAAGGTATTTTGCAGATTCTGATGTGGAGAAGCCAGCCTTCTGACAGTTTCCCACGTGGCTGAGCACACGGCTCGGAGGAAGCGAGCATGCCCCACTACTGGCTGGGGACGATGTGGAGTCTCCAGCTGGGGTGTGCGTGCTTTGTTCGCTGTCAGCTTACGTTGGGATGGTGTTGGGGCGAGGCTGCCTTCATAATGAGGTACTCATGTTTGTGCCTGACCAAGCGCTTTTACGCCCTTGACCTCCTGTGATCACCAACAAGGGGAGACAGGAATCATTTTCCAGATGAGGAAACTGAGGGTCAAGGAGATGAAGGGACTTGCCTGAGTGCATGCAGCAAGGTGCCCATCTGACCCTGGGGACACCTCTCTCTAGCTGCTGCCACACCCTCCCTGTCCCTTGTATGAGAGTCATAAGAATAGCCCAAGATGGGATGTCACATTGGCCTGTGTCCTGGATCCCCTGGGTTCTCTTCGTGCACGTTGTCCCTACCTCCTTGGCCAGACTGGGCGGCCAATTGGTCTCTGGGGCCCCAGGGCCCAGCACCTGTGCTCTAGAGTCGGGTTAAGAGCATCCGCAGGTCATCTGATCAAATCAAGAAGCAAGTAGAATTGCTGGTATTTTGGCAGCTCTGACTTGCTGTTTGGACCAGTGGTTCTCAAAGTGTGGTCCTGGCTCAACATCTCCTGGGGACTTGTTAGATTTGCACACTCTGGGCGCCACTCAGAAACCCTGGCATGAGGCCTAGCACACTGGGCTGTAAGGAGCCCTCCAGGTGCTGAGAGGCAGTGGTTCCCACAACGGCACCTGCTGTTTGGAGCTGGACTCTAGAGTTCAAACCCCAGCTCTGCCCTGTCTTGCTGTGCAGCCCGATGCAGGTCAGTCAACCTCTCTGGTTTGTTTCCTCATCCGTATAATGGTGCTGATACTCTGTGAGGAGGTTTACGTGACGCTTCGCCGGAAAGGTGCTCTGCATGGGGCCTGGCGTGTAGCTGATGAGTGTTAAGCCCGAGGCTGGTGGGACACAGGCTGGGCAGTTTCCGGTTCTATGGTGGTGCCAGGGTCAGCCTGGTTCCTCTGACCCCCTGCTTGGCCTTGGCCCTGTGTGGCAGGGAATGAGCCTCAGACACAGGTCTGGCCAGATTTGGTGCTGCCCCAGCTCTGCCCTCCTGAGGCAGTGCAGCCGCCTCTATCCCTGGCCTAGGCGTGTCCCCTGGGGAGCACCATGGGGCTGCCTCCATCCCGGCCCTGGCTCCTCCGCTCGCTCCCACCACAGAGACCACAGAGGCCTGGCCCAAGGTCCCTGCCGGCTCTTCCTGGGAAAACCGAGGCCCAGGCAGGGCACGCACTTACTACAGGCGTGTGGGGAAGGGGCTGGCAGGGGAGCAGGAAAGGGCAGCTGCCAGCCCGGAGAGCACTGGGGCTCTGAGAAGGGTCGGAGAGGAGAGGTAGCCGCCAGGCACCCGCAGGGCAGGGTGGCTGCCTGGCCAGGGCTCCCACTTCCGGACACCCTGCGGTCATCCCCACTTGATGGGAACTGAGGCTCAGAGAGGCTTCCGGTCCCACAGGCGAGCCCAGGCGGGGATGCTCCCTACTGGAGGTGGGGGAGCAGCTCAAGAACCGCTTAGTACCTGGCCCCGTACGCCCTTGGGGCGGCGTTAGGAGACCCGTTCTTCCTGATTTCCTGAGGCCGCTAGGCTGACCCCCAGGATCCACAGGAACACCCTCAGAGGACTGTCCCGCCCCGTCCTCTCTGGCTGCCCTTGCCTTGGTGTCAGAATGACTCTGTCCCTCCCTGGCCTACTGGAGCTCCCTGAAGGCAAACGCAGTCCCTTCTTCATGTCTGTCCTGGCACAACTGAGTCTTGCATACCAGGTGCTCAGTAAATGCCTGGTGAATGAATGGAGCCCAGGAACAGAAAGTAGAGAGGAAGCCTGCCAATTTCCCGCCTAGAGGGGCTCCTCAAGGTCAGACCTTGCTCAGCCCGCCCCCAACTTGCTCTGTGAGCACAGGCATGTCACTTCCCCTCACTTGGCCTCAGGTTCCCCTGTGCTGATGGGTTGTGCGCACGCTCCTTCAAGCCTGGCCCCTAGTACCCAAGGCCTTGGCACAGCTCACAGGCCACGCACCAGAGGCCAGCCTGGGGCAAGGCCGTGCAGGTGTCTAGGTGGATAAGGACCCTGCAGTGAAGCTAGGGACTCAGAGGCCAGCGCTGTCCTCTGTCTGCAGGGACCTAAGAAGGCCCAGGTTTTCATTTAAGCTTTAGCAGAGCCAGATCCTTGCCTGGGTCACTTGACTAGGGCTTGTGTGCTCTCTCGGGGCACTACCAGGGGGCAAGGATGACATGCCCCGCGGTGAGGACAGGGAACTGGGACAGGCTGCCTAGGGTGGTGTGGACACAGCTGTGATCCAGGGCCAAAAGGGCAGCTGGGCCCAGGCAGTGGCAGTGGGGAGGGGAAGGACAGAGGCAAAGAGGGCTTGGTGGCCCTGTGCGGAGGGTGTGGGAGGGGCAGCCCAGGATGCGAGAGGGCCCTGGCTGCAGACGCGGACAGCGGGGTGTCACTCATAACCACACTGAGTTACCACCTGAGTTCCTGTAGCCTTCCCACCACATTCCAACCCTCCAACTGGAAGGCGGGCACCACTCTCCCCTGGGGAAACTGAGGCCCAGCTCACCCAAGGGCCTGGACTGGACCGGCAGGTGGGCGGAGAGGGCCCTTCAGGGTCCTTGCAGGCGCTCTGGGGACGGCTGGAGGCCGAGAAGAGGGCCTCGCCGAGCAGCGGTTGACCCTCCCGCTCGCCCCTTGCTCTCGGTCGCCAGGGAAGGGACAGAGGAAGGGCCTGGTTTGCCCTTAGGAGCCGTGCAGGTGGGGGCCCAATCTCAGTTCTGTCACAGGACCTTGGGCAATTCACTGGAGTTTCCAGACCTTCTGTGTCCCCTTCTGCAAAGCGGGGTGACTTGAGCCTCCCCCATGGACTGTCGTGAGGGTGCACGAGCTCACCAAGTGCCCCAGGAGCCTGCTCTGGGCCCTCCCCCCCCACCGTCCTGCGTCTCTCCATGGCGGCCGGGTGGCGAGGCAGAGGCTGATGTCCAGCCTGGGAAGCAGGCAGCTCTGCTGGGCTCCAGGAGGGGACAGGAGGGGCCCACCACCCATCAGACGAGGTGGCTGGATGACAAAGATTCGTCCCGGGCCCTTCATGAGCTGGGCCAAATGCCGCTGCAGTGGCGGCTGCCTGCCTCCTTGCTTCTCCCACACCCTTAAGAGGGTGGAGGGCTCAGAGGGGATTTCCCTCAGCGGCACAGACCCGCCGGGCTTCCTTGGGTCAGTCTGACTCTTGGAGCTGGTCTGTCCATCCATCTGTTTGTTCATTCCTTCCTCCCTCCCTTCCTCTTTAAGACTCTATTTATTTTTAGAGAGGAAGGGAGGGAGAGAGGGAAACATCAGTGTGTGCGAGGAACATCAGTTGGTTGCCTCTCATACACCCCCAGCCAGGGACCTGGCCCACAACCCAGGCCTGTGTCCTGGCCAGGAATCGAACCGGCGACCTTCCAGTCGGTGGGGCGATGCCCAACTCACTAAGCCACCCGGTCAAGGCTTGGAGCCTGTTTCTTACTCTGTCAAGGGAAACGGGGACAGGGTATTTGGAGACGGGCACGTTCTGCACAGATGCCACCGGAGCAGAACGCAGGGCCCCGCACACTGCAGGCGCTCGGGAAACGCGTTCCTGGAAGCCTGGCCGTGAGGAGCGGTCGGTCGCGGGCCTAGTCCTACTGTTTGGGCCCCAGGGGGGAGGGGGTCTCCGGGAGGGAGGGGTGCCCAGGCCACACAGTGGCAGGTTTGGGGGAAAGGGGAACCCTGAGGGGCCCAGGGGCCTCGAAATCGACCAGCCCCGGTGTAGCAGGGCCAGCGGGACACGGACACAGCCCCGGGGCAGCGGTCAGGGCCTAGGACACCGTGCGCGCCAGCTGGCGTCAGCACGAGGCACCCGCACGGCACAGGCACTGTCACACACTCACGAGATCGACTGTTTATTGACTTTTCCCTAAGACACCATAAAGAAACTCCCGAACTGGAAAGACTTGACAATTTTTGGTAATCTGTAGCAAAGGAATGAGGATTTCTGCTGGTAAGTCTTCAAGATAAACACATACACAATCCATGGTCCAAGCAAGACGCAGAGCTCACTGGGACACTGAGTGATGCATAGCTTGTGACGGCGGTGGCCATTCTGCAACGTCTGAGTTACACAAAATAGAAGTTCTCCCTCCCCTCCCGCCCCGTGATTACAGTGTAGCTTCCTGCCGCAGCACGTCTGCTCCCTGATGACCAAGGAAACTCAGAAGAGACCCTTGTGCTATGGGGTGAGCCCAAGCTTTCGTTTGCTCTCGAGGAGTACAGGTGACCTGAGTCCACAGCTGCCGGGAAGGCCTGGGGGTTTTATAGCGCCCGGCCACGGGGCGCACGGTGGCCAGGGAGCCGGCGGGCCCGCAGCGGGCGGGGGGGTGGGGGGGGGCGGCAGGCTTCCCTCCGGCAGCGTCCTCTCCAAACGCCCAGCCCACGTCCCGAGCTTGGGGGAGGCCCACCCAGCCCACCATCTAGACATGGGCCCGAATGCCACGGTCTTCAAGCAGTTTACAAATTAAATCCACTGTCAAGAGCCTTTCAAATCTCATGAAAACAGTAGACAAGCTCTTTAGATTCTCTGAATATCAAATAATATATACAGATATATACCAGGTCATGATGGTCTAACTAACATAAAGCATCTTAATCTACAGGTGCCTTCCCCTGAAAAGCTAGTCTTTTCAGGTTTAATTTTCCACTCACTGAGAGAATTATCAATTTGCAAGCATCAGGCTGTAAGCATGAAGAGAGTGAACTAGTTTTTAAATATGGTAACTTTGGGGAGTCTAAGGTTATTTCCAAAACCCACACATTCACAGTAGAAACCCAACCATAACGTGTTCCCCCCTCTACTGCGACCTCTTGCCTCGAACATCCCGTCTACACGAGCTAAGCCCTGCGGATGCCGCAGGCAGGGGCATGGACGAGGAACAGCCCGCCACGCAAACAGAGGCACTGCATCTTGCAGCCTGGCGTACATCAATCTGTGTCATAATTTAAGCATGAATGAATGGACGAACAGGTGATAAAAAGGTACAGCCGCACACAGCCTTTAAATTAAAAACCTCAGAAAATGGCACGTACATTTGTTCATTTAAATTGAAGGTGATGAGCGCATCAGAGAAAGGAACCAGTGGGACAAGAATGGGGGTGACCCACCCTTGACACGGAGGCGAGGCAGACAGGCAGGGTCAGGGACGCACAGATCCATGATAAGCCACACGCACACGGGGCGGGGGAGCAGGCAAGGGCCGGCGGCATCTGTTGTTCTGCGTCTTCCTGTGCTCACATCTCTCCACCCGCACCGTGGAAAGGCTGCCCAGTCCCAGGTGAAATGACTGGCTCATCTGTCTCCAAGAGACACCATGAAGCCAAGAGCAGTGGAACCATCGTCTTTTGCAGGAACAGGAGTGGCCGCCCCACGGCCAGCTGGCGGAGCCGGAGTGCTGCCCGGGCCGCCGGCCAACGGAGCTCCGCGGACCGCACCCCGCCGCCAGCCAGCCCACCGGGCTGTCACTGGATGGCCTCGACGTAGTTTGCTGGGTACAGGCCGACCTGGCCACTGTCCAAGCGTCCCTTGCACCAGCCCTGCTCATCCTCGTCCTCTATCTTGGTCAGCTCGTCCCCTGCAAGGCAAAAAGGGAGGGGTCTTGCTGAGCTGGCAAGTAACACAGGGACCATGGGGTCGGTCTCCCTCAAGTCTCAGCCCCCACCCTCGACCCACCGAGGGTCTCTAACTTGAGGGGAGGGACAGGCATTCTCCTGGGAGCAAGGGCCTGCTAAGTTCTCCACTGAATTGCATTTTAAGCTAGCTTGTCGGGGGCCTCTCAGAGACCTACGGAGACATCGCTCACACCGTGAGCAAGCAGCGCCCAGGCCCCACGGCGGCTCCCACACAGACTCCAGGATTCCAGGCTGCCGGCCTCGAGCCTTCCCGGCCTCTCCAGGCCGGGTCAGAGGGCTGCCTTCAGGGGCCGCTCCCTGGGCCTCGCCCATTCGCTCTTCCTGTGTCTCCTCCAGCACTTGCTGGCCGCCCTCGGGCCTTCACGTGACCTGGGTCAGACTGCAAGGGTGGGAGGGGCGGGCACCCCTCATTCTACCTCTAGCACCAGCTCAGGGCGTGTCCTCTGACTTAAACAGCCACCCCTTCCCGACACTCGGATGGAAGCCGTTGGTCTGGTTCTGGAATCCCCCCATGGCTCTCTGCGTTAGGTGGTTTGATTTATCTTTTGTTTGGCCACGAGGGAACCCCTTCCTCAGGCCAGGTCGTAGGTGGCAGAGATTCAGAAAGAGAGACAGAAGAGAGTCCTGGGGTCTCAAGGGGACAGACTAAGGGACGAGGACCACAGCTGTGATCGGGGCATGGTGGGGGAAGTCCAGGCTGGGCGTTCTCCTGTTCAGGGCAGACAGCGGGAACCCAGCGCAGGTCTCCCAGGGGCGGGGACAGGGAAGACCGGCTGCCCCGGGTGCAGGTCTGCCTTCACCGTTGGGTTTGCGGCTCCGTGTCTCTCCTCTTTTGTAGACATTGGGCCTCTTTTCCAGGCTTAGGTGCACTTTATGCCTCGTTCGGCAGCACTTCCCAGGCTCTGTTTTATGTGGCACAAATGCTGCTCATGGCGCCTGTGGGCCAGTCCCCGGGGCTGCCTGTGCTACCAGGGCCACTGGGTGTGGACCCCTGAGCCACTGTCACAGGCCAGGAGACCTGGCAGACGGCCTGGCCCCCAGGCCCTGTGCCCACATCTGTGGACAGGGTGCTGCGGGGGCTACAAGTTACAACACGAAAGGACACGGGACAGCGCCAGGCACACCATCACCTTCACGTGGCATGGCCAGGTCATCGCTGCTGGGGCTCGGCCACAGGCGGCCCCAGGTTACTCTGCCAGCGCCAGAGGTGAAGGCAAGGGTTGCAGGGCGAGCGGCGCGAGGAACTGGCCTCCGCTTCCTCCCACCCCTGGGTCCTGACTGTCCCCGGAAGGGTCTACGCTGTGGCCCTGGCATTTCCGCCACCCTGCCCTCGCCAGCTGCGGGGCTCCCAGGCACACAGTGAGGCACCAGCAAGGCGACGCTTCCACGTGGCCAAGGTGCACCCAAGGCCCAGAGAAGGAGTGCGCAGCCGGAGCCCGCTGGAGAGGAAAGCAGCGTGGCCGGGAACTAACGTCACATCGTGAAAGAGAAAGTAACAGAGGACAGGCAACACTGACAGCAAAGCTCCCGAGCTGTAAGAACGTGAACTGGTGATTAGAAACGTTTCTTTCGGTCAGTTTGCTCCTGACAATTCACTTGGAACAGAAGGAAACATTTTAAATCTGTAAAATTGAGAATTACAAACTTAAATAAATCACAAATAGAATTGAGGGGGTTAACGACTTCACCAAAGAGATCAGAAAACTGAACAGAGATGTTTAAAGGCGCGTGAGCCTGGGGTGGGGGGCCTGGGGACAGCCAGCCGGCCTGCCGAGTGCGGAGGGAAGGCGGCGGAAGGCCCCTGCTCCCAGGCTCCCTGAAGGACGCTGAGGAGCAGGGGCCTCTAGGCACGGCCCCCCGGCCCCCCGGCCCCCCGGCCCCCATCCCACCAGCCGAGGCGGGGTCAGATGCAGGGTCGGCCCCAGAGGTGGGCACCTCTGAGCGGAGGGGCATCATCCACCTGCACTGGCTGATTTGTGGCCCAGCCTCCCTTGGAGGGCTGGGTGCTGGGTCTGGGGAGCCTTTGGCGGCGGGGGCGGGGGGGGGCGGGGGCGGTGGTGGCTGGAGAAGGACCTTGGTGCCTTTGGGCCCAGGGCGGCGCCGGGCCGCCCCGGCCTCCCTAGACAGGCTCTCAGTCTTTTCAAACTGAGGGTTGCAACCCATCTTGGTGAACTGCAGCCAACATTTGAGGAAAGAAGGCTAAAAAATGTCTGAATGCAGAGCCGTGTGATTGGGATCCCATGTTCCGTAAAACCGGTTTCGGCCACTGGCTGCAGAGGTGTGACGGTGGTAAGTGCGCCCCCCTTTGGCCGTGGGGCGGAGGGGCGCCGTAAAGGGCACTGCCCCTGGGACGAGCCTCTGCTGCCCCGGCGCGCTGCATGCTGCTCCAGGGTCTGGGCAGGGCAGCCACGCCAAGGCTCCTCTGCCAGCTGGGGGCCTTGGGGACCTGCAGGGCCAGCCACTTCTGGAAACGTCTGGGGGAGCCAGGAGGTCCTGGCGCCCCGCGTCTCTGCTCCAGTGCGCCACGGGGCCCAGGCCTCGCCCAGCTGGGGGCCACGTCTTAGGCAAAGGCACAGGGCACCTCACTCTGCCAAGTGCTGGCACTCAGCACCTGCTCCTTTGGAAGTGGGGGACCCACGCATGAAACCAGCGGGAACTGTGGCAGACCCCAAATAAAACGAGGCCCCGCAGGCCAGGAGCCTTCACCCCAGGCCACCGGGAGCCGCCTACCAGCTTTGAAGCTCAGTTCGTCGTGCTCCTGCCCCTCGTAGTCGTAAAGGGCCCGGACCCGCACTTCCATCCCCGAGGTGGCGTCCTCGTCAAACGGGTTGGAGTCCCCGTTGGCGTCCGTGGAGGAGAACGGGTTGTTTGACTCGTCGTCGGACCAGTCGGTGGGGTAGCTCTGTGTCTTCTCGTAGCTGCTCACGCTGCAAGAAAGGGGTGACCGGGCCCTGAGCACGGGGCTGCCAGGGGCAGGGCCCTGGGGCTGGGCGGGGACTCCTGCGCGGAGCACAGCCCTCCGTCGCCCAGCGCGGTCAGGCTCCCCGCCGCGGCCGCCCCAGCCCCTGGCAGAGGCAGGGCCGGCGGCTCCAGCAGGGCCGCCCCGCAGGCCTGTCTTCCTGTGCTGGGGCCTTGACTACAGTTCATGGAGGACAGAGAGAAAGCAACCACAGATTGTTAACTGGTGCCCCCCGCCCCCCGAGAAACTGAAAAGCCCAAGACTGCCCCCGGCTGGCAGCCGGGCCACTGGCTGCGGGCCCCGTGCACGGCTTGGAGCACCGCGGGGCCGAGACCCTGGACACAGAGGAGAAAGACAGAGCGAGCGAGGTGGAGACCAGAGGAAACGTTTGTTCACCAACTTTTTGGGCTTAATGTCCTCCTTCTCACTGACGGTGCTCCCCGTGTCGTCCTCGTCCTCGAAGGGGTTGTAGCTGGACAGTGACTGCGCTGACCGTGTGGGGTTGCTCGGGACACTAAGATCGCTACGGGGAGAGAGAGAGCTTTCAGGGGACCCCAGCTCGCAGCGCCTGAGGCCCTGGGTGCTCCCAGCGCAGGGCCACAGGGCCAAGTGGGAGGGATGTGTTGTCTGAGCAGAGTTTGTTTCGGCAAAACACCTGTCAACACTTTGGCTGTGAAACGCACTTCAAGTGTCTGAGCGAGAGCAGATCTGCATCTTCCCTCCTCGCGTCTGGACGCAGCCTGCCCCAAACAGGAGCCCGGAGCGGAGCGCAGGGGATTCCGCGCAGTCCTCCCACTCCCGTGAGCCGGCAGGCCAGACAGCCGGGGGCTCGTCGCGGGGGTCAGAGCCGGACTACGGGCAGGGAGGCTCCCGGAGCTCTGTGGGCCCCACCGCACAGCGCGCCCCTCCTCCTGACCGCTAGAGGGTCCAGCGCCTCCTCTTGGCCCTTCCGGCCCGGAGCACCCGTCAGCGGCGCCGGAGCCCACTGACCGGCCCTGCCTAGGAGTAAAGAACCCCCTTTGTGCTCGAGAGAGAAGAGCCGTCTGCGCACTGGCGACAAGTGCTTGCCGTGCGTCAGGCCCGGAGGACCAGAGAGAAATTAGACCCATGCGTGGCCTGAGGGCTGACAGCCAGGGGCCAGGGGATGTGGAGACTGCAGGTGCTGCGTGCAGAAAAGAAGGTGAAGAAGGAAGACAGGCCCCCGAGGGCCCGGAGCTCCACTGTGTGACTGGGCCCAGGGGCCGGGACTCTAAGCCACAGGGCAGGGCTCCGGGGGCCAGCACCCTCTCTCGCAGACAAGTCCAGGGCTGCTCGGAGCGGGCACTCCAAGTGCTGGACGGACGGCTCAGAGCTGGGGAGCCGTGGGGAGGGAAAGAAAGGCCGCACATGGCACCAGAGTGGCCCGAATGGCTTCATGGACGCTAGCCCTGGTGAGGGACACTGAGCAAGCCTGCCTCCCGCCTGCGCCCGGGCCGCGCGTCCGAGCCCGCCAGGCCCCTGCCTCCGTGGCACCTCTCTCTAGCCGACTCTGAGACAGGGTTCGCCCTCTGGGCAGCGGAATCTGCGCGGCAGCCCACGCAGCCCAGGCCCCCCACAGGAGCTCCCCGGTCCCACCCCAGCCACCCGGGTGCTGGCCCGATCCCCGCGATGGTGCTCACACAAGCCCACGTGCCCAGATGGCGACAGAGCAGCTGAAAGATGACAGCCCACGTCTGCCCGGGCAGTCCGGGCGGGGGCTTCAGAAAGGCCCCATAGTCCTGGCTGGTGTGGCTCAGCTGGGTGGAGCACTGATTGTCCCATAAATCAAAAACATCAGAAAGGCCCCAGGACCCTGTGCTGCCCCTTCTTAGGCAGCCACGGTCGAGAGATGTAGCCCACACCTTTCTTCACTTTGCCAGCGGCCTCCACCCAGGGGCCGTGCGGCAGGCAGGCTCCCAGGGCAGCGCGGCTGGAGCCAAGGCCCGGCAGACGGCGGCCGAGCTCCATGACGGGAAGCCTGAGCGGGGGCAGGGCTTGTCGGCTCACTGTCCCCAGAGGTTCTAACGGCCTCGGTGCCGCCTCTTCTCGCCAGACTTGGCTTCAGCGAACAAAGAAATAACCAAGGCTCTCGGCAAAGGGGCGGCTGCGGAAAGGGGGCACTTAACAAGCTCCCCTGTCACGCCTCCCCCCAGGCGCCTGTGCACAGCATGGGGCGGGGCAGACCACCTGGGTGCCTGGGCCCGCCCGAAGGAAGCTGGCAGCGGCCTCCACCTGCCCGTGCGCACCCCTGGGGACACATCATGACCCGCACCTGCCATCAGCGCCCCCCCTCACGTGAGGCCCGACGCACGTTTGTGGCAAAGGCTCCCTCTCTGGATCTTTCCACAGCTCCAGCACCCGGTGGATGATGATCCTCCCCAGAGTGGCCCAGGGGGACTCAGGTGTCCTGGAGCAGCTGGACAGATGCCCATGGGGTGCCCGTGAGGCCCCCCTGGGGACTCTCCCGGTGCAGAGGGCCCAGGGAGGGAGGCTGCCCGCACGCACCCACCTGCTGGGCTTGTTCTGCAGGGCCTGGTCGCCTGTCTGGTTGATGCCCGTCAGGGTGACGCCGTCCGTGGTCTTCTTCTTCTCCCTCCGGCTGAGCGTTCGATTCATGTCTGCAGACCACTCCTGGGCAGGGAACCGGGGGAAAGAGGTCGGGAAGTTCACTTGTTTGAGGCCTCGTCAGTCTGAAACGCGGGGCAGGGGCTGGGCCTTCAGAGCTGCGGACCCTTTCTATCTACGCCCTGAACTGTCTCTGGCCCCCGGGGTAGAGGGAGGGGCCGTGGGGACCTGAGCAAGCCTGCAAACGGGGGACAGAACGCTGGGGTTGCTGCACCGCCCAAGGGGTGACAGGCTAGTAACCGACCACTCCAGCCTGCAAAGCGCAGCGCCCTCCCTGGCCTCTCTGCTATTGAAAATTCAACCTGAAGCAGCACTGGGGCGGGGTGGGGGGGAGCTGCTAACGAAGCCAAGCGCTCGCCTCCCCAGAGGTTCCCCAGAGGTTCGCTATTTCCCAGAATGAACTGGCTTTTGTCAGCTGCTTTGGGAAACACCGGGAGCAGGGGAAGGAGGGAGGGGCTGTTGCGCAGGTTTACAGGCGAGGATATGCGCGTGCACCTCGCAGTGAGGGACTTCTCCCTCCCTCCCTCCTGACAGCTCCCACCATCAAACAACCTGAACTGTATAAGTCCTCGGTGGGACTGAGTCCGCAGTTTGTTCACATGTAGTCACAGAATCTCAAGGTTAGACGCCATCTTAGAAACGTCAACCATTTCTCAGAAGAAAAACCAAGACCCAGAAAGAAAGTTACTTATCCACAGAATTTGTGGCAGACCAGGTCACCTATTAGTTTATTATTTCTCAATTGAAATGAGATGACTGAGAGCTCAGCTGGAACTTGAGTCCTCTGGTGGCCTTTTGAACATAAATCTGTCCTGACTGGGTGGCCTGCAAGGGCTGATGCGATCATCCCCAGACCGACTTTCCGAGGAAGGGCCAGATGTAAATCTGGACAACAGAACCAGCAGGCTGCAGGCTGCCACGGCCCTTTCCCCAGCACACGTGTCCTGAACCAGGCCGTGGACACCACACTGCCCCCCGCCCCACACGGGCTGGATGCGCACTGCAGGGGGTCTGGAATTCAATAAGTTAGCCAAAAAATGGTGACTTACTTCATCCTTGTGGCATGGAAAAAAGAAAAAGATACTTTCATTAGAGGAAGGTAAGCGTGATGCGCTAAGACTTGTGTGCGCCACACGCGGGCGCCGCTTCCCAGCCCGCAGGATCCACAGAGAGAGAGGGGCCGCCCGCGGGCTCTCGCCCTGGCCCTGCCCATGAGACCCTGGTAAGTCTTCCTCCTCAGACCGTTCTGTTGTCTGGGTGTTGACTACTGACAGACAACCCTAAGGGACTGGGGTGCACGGGGCGCAGTAAACCCCGCTATGGGTCAAACCCCAGCTGGGTGCATAGGCTGTGTCATCAACTTGCTTCTTCCCAGGGTGTCACCATGGGCTGGGGAAGGTTGGGCACTTTCTCCTTCCACTCCTGGGTCCACCTCCACTTGGAACGGCCCCCGGGCCTGTTTTGTCCCAATGCCTCTGTGGAAGGGGCACAGCCTGCTCTTGGTCTCCTGTTGGGTGACGTTCTAAAGCTAGCGGGGGGGGGGGGGGGGGGGGGCAGCGCTCAGCTGCAGGGACCCACACTGCCATCTGCGGAAGCTTTCTTGAGAAGCTCCAGAAAACAGACGCACATGTGTTAGGACTGACGAAACTTCAGGCTAAGATGGGGCCAAGCAGGCTTCTGTGCGGTCGGCCTGCGGTCAAAACCCAGCACGGCCCAGGTCACTGACCCACCAGCCACCCAGGGAGCTAGCTGCTGTTGTCATCGCATTTTACACATGGGAAAACTGTCACGAAAAGCGCAGATGACTTGCTCCACCTCCCACAGTTAGTAGGTGGTAAGGCGGGATCTGCCTGCAGCCTGGGCTCTGGCTGCACCGAACCAGGCAGAGCCACTTGGCTCAAGTGCAAGGCAGGGAGTCGCTCCCAGCAGCCTCCTGGCAGGGGCCCCGCTTCACCATGAGGAGGGGAGAACGCTGTCCTCAGAGAACAGGGAGGCAGGCCTCGTGCCGCTGCCTTCTCTGCTCCAGGGGGGTGGGGGGCAGGGAGGGAGCAGTGTCTGGTGACCCCATCCTATGGCCAGGAGAGTCTGAGATCCCCAGGCATTTTTGCACATAAAGACATTGGAAGGCTTGGGCTCTTAACAATGGGAAAAGAAGAAAGTTACTTCCAAACCCAAATTGGTCGAGTTTACTGTCTGAAATAAGAAAAAGTGTGAAGGGGGAGAAGAGCTCCATACCGAGGCCACGCTCCCTACTGATCTGGACCCCAGGCCGCGGAGCGGGTGCCCGTGGTCCGCCAGGCCTGGTGTGAGCTGTGGCAGCTCCCTCCCCGGCCCATCCCCAGGGTGAGGCGGGGGACCGGCCGTGGGGGTGTCCTGCATGCCCTGCAACTCCTGGGACTCACACGAAGGAGTACCAATGGCCAACTAGTGACTATCCACGTTCTTAATGAGGAAGAGCTTCATTGCACCTTCCCTAGGGATTCAGAAAGCCCTGCGGTAGTGCCCAAAGTGCAGAAAATGCAACATCGTTTTGGTCTCCCGTGGAGCTGTGGGTAATGGTGGCCTCACAAACGGAGCAAAGGTCAATGCAGAAATGGAAGGAGAAAGGCAGTGTATGGTTCGACCCCGTGGGCCCAGGCCCCTGCTGGGCCGAGGGGGCACGGGTGCAGCCTCCTCTTACCTCAAACTGCGGCCAGTTCATGGACATGCCCGGCCCGTGGTTGGCTCTGAACCACCTTAGGTCCTCCACGGCATCAGCCGCTTTGATGTTCTGCTCCAGGTCGCGGTAAATGTTTTTGTAGCTAAATCAGAGAGAGAAGCATGACTCTTTTGGAAGGAGGGACAGACCCTGTTCGTCCTCGCACAGCGCCTGGCCACCGCTGGCACCACTGCAGCTGACTTCACGGCGCCGCTCAGGACACCCCACCCTGGCTCGGCGGGGTCATCATCTGGCCTCCATGTGCACAGATGCAAACCACCACCATGGCATGGAAGCCGCAGGGCTGGCCCCTCACAAATCAGCTGACAACAGCTTGGCTCTGCTCTGCATCAGAATGCAAAAAGCGCTAGCATCTGGGCCACACAGGCCACCAATGTGGGTGGTCCCATTTAATCAGGTCCAGGATCCAGCGTCGGGAAAGTTCGTCCCCACCCCCTCAAGAAGCCAGGCTGTTTGTGCCCAGCCCTGCAGAAGCAGCACTCAAGGAGCCACCCGGGGCGGGTGTGGGCCGCCTCTGCTGGGCGGCTCACCGCAGCCCGCCCTCTTAGGGAGCTGGCTGTGCCCAACCGGAGTCTGTACTGCGGCGGTGCTGGCATTTTCACCCCTAACCTGTGTGGCTGGCAGGCCATCGCCCTCTCTGGGCCTCCTTTTCCTCCCCCTCTGAGTGGGCCTAATGCCATCTGTTACAGGTTGCACGGTGTCCTCCACAAGACAGGCTGAAGTCCTGACCCCCAGTACCTGCGAACATCACCTTCTTACAGGGCCTTTTTGGAGCTAGTCGAGTTAAAATGAAATCAGTTGAGTGGGCCCTATCCTACGGACACCTTTTCATAAAAAGGGGAAATTTGGACACAGACAGACAGCGGGAAGGAGGACAATGTGTGGTCACGTAGAGAGGATGGCCCTGTCACTGAAGGGGTACGTTGACAGCCAAGGAAGGCCAGAGACAGACAGCAAATGCCCGAAGCTGGAAGAGACAGGCAGGCCCTCCCCAGAGCTGTCCGACTCCTGGCCTCCAGGCGAGAGAATAAAATTCTGTCACCTAAGCCATCCAGTTTGTGGTATTTGTGACACTCCTCCATGTTCTCCTCGCCAGCGGCTCAGAGGACTGAGGCCAGGCGTGCCAGTGGTGGACAAGCACGCGCATGTGGGGACTGCTCCACACACAAAAGAGCCGGACACAGCCCGGCCCTGCCACGCCCCAGCCAGCTGTGTGGCCTCAGGCAAGTCACTGAACCTCACCCATCCATAAGATGGGAACGCCACCCACTTCACAGACTCTTGAAAAGATTGATTAAGTGGCGGCAGCATGGCTGTGCAGTAAGTGTTGCTTCCATTTTTTATACAGAAGGACGCTCAGGGAATGTCACTTCCTGTTAGCGAGCCCGGCCTAGTAAGTCCATTCTAAATGGCTCTGCTCTAGGGATGGCAGACGTCTCCGTCGAGGGCTGGCCCCGACCTCTGCCCACACAACGGCTTCATGGGGCCAAAGGCAGGAAAGTGCAGAAGAAGTGCCCCGCCTCCAATCAGGACCCAAACTGAGTCTCCACGGGTCTGCGCTGCCCAGGCCTAGAACCGCTGCAAAGTCAAGGGCCGAGCCGGCAGCCGGCTGGTTGGAGGGAAAGGACTCATGAGGGGCCTCACAGTCAGCCCATCACGGGGGCGGGCATGCCAGCCCAGAGATGCTGACTCCAAACTCGCCAACCGTGGCCAGTCCGAGCTGCGGCCTTCCTCACGTGCAGGCCCAGAGCCGGCAGAGCACGGCCCTTTGCTGTGCGGCAAAAGGCCGTCGGGCACAGGCCAGTGGCCAGTGGCCCTGCGCAGCCTCAGACAGGCCCTCGCCAGACAGCAGAGCTCAGCAGCCGTGGGAAGAGCGGACAAGCACTGTCATCCCGAGGCTGGAGGGCAGCGACTGAGCTCTGCTCAAAAGCAACTTGGCACTGACCTCACTGTGACATGCTCTATGGCTAAGGGGACACTCACTCGGCCACATTCGACAGGTCCAGGTGCTTCTGAACCTCCAGCAGGACTTCCCGGAAGAAGCGGAGGCGCTTCTCCTCAAACTGCTGGCACTGCTCGAACACCTGCTCCATGTTCTCCATGTACTGGGGGGTGCCCTGGTCCAGCTCCTTCAGGGACTTCTCGTACTTTTCTTTGGTCTACGAGAAAAGGCAGGCAGCACCGAGGGAGGGTCAAAACCCTCCGCACCGGCTCATGCACCAGTTCTCCCGGCCCGTGGACGCCCACAGCTCCCCGCCCTGCACAAGAGCTCCTGTCCGCTGCGTGCCCGCGGCGACCCCGCCTCCCACACCTCACCCCCAAGCACAGCACTCCTCGCTCCCTCGTTCGCCCAGCACTCAGTTCGGCCCCATCCTTGGGTGAGGCCTTCCTGAGGGCAGGAGTGTGTTCTAGTGCCGTATCCCTCTGTCCACCATGCCACCAGGCAGCGACAAAGGTTCTCCAAGTGCCAGACACGTGAGCGGGAGAGGCGGGTGCGCTCATCACGTAGAGATGTGCATGCTTTACCTTAAGAACATCTTGCTTGCATTTTTCTACTTTGTCTTGCAATTTCTTAAGCTGTTCAGGGTTGAGGGATGGGTCCACTTTGCTATTGTTTTCTCGTGATATCGCCAGCTTCTCCTCTTTGCATGCTGTGTGGTAGGCTTTCTTTGCTGCTTCTACCTACAGAGAGGAGTTCCGAACACATGATTCAGAAAGGTTGAAATCCTCGCCTGAGGCAACAGAGGTGAGGACAGAGCAGGCGCAAAGCCGTGTGTGGGGCAGGGCTACAGGTGGCCGCAGCAGAGGGCTTCGTCCAACAGACACTGACTGGTGCCTGCTTTGTGCCGGGCGCTGTCCTAGGTGCCAGACGAGGGCCTGGGCCTTCAGGGGCTACAGTCTAGCTGGGGAGGCAACTGCAGAGATAGTTCAAGGTGAGGGCATATTGGAAGGTGGTAAGTGCCACGGAGACAATAAAGTGAGGGAGAGACACAGGGAGGCCGTGGGGGGCTGGGCCAGGGGGACCGCATGGAGACAGTCCCCCAGCTGACAAGGAGCAAGAACGTAAAAGGCGGGGGGTGGCCGTCTGCGGGAAGGGCATGCCAGGCAGCGGGAAGAGCAAACGCAAAGCAAGTTTCACAGGAGAAACCTAGCACAAGAGAGGGCGTGCTATTGGGAGGCAGGACCATAGGCCGCATTTTCCATGATTTTCAATGGCTATTACATACGCACCCACACAGGTGCGCACATGCTGACACTGATGTGTGCATAATTTATTTAATGGACACTCGCGTACTTGAGCCAGTCACAGATTTCCTTTCAGAGAGGAGAGATGAGTTTGTAACCGTGGCCTCATGAGGGGGACAGTGTCATTATAAATGGGGCCAGGGACAAAAAGGAAGAGAAAGGAGATGTGGCAAAGGCCCAGACAGAGAAGAGGAGGAAAGACTGTGGTTCCAAAGGGAAGACGCAGGTCTGAAGGAGGGACCGGAGGAGGGGCGGGGGAGCACAGCTGAGCGCGGGAGCGGGCGGGGTGCAGGGCAGCGTGGGGAGGGTGCGGGCCTGAAAGCCTCCATCCAGCCAAGGCTGGACAGGACCCAGCGGCTTCACTGCTCCTTCCAGAAACACAAATCTCTGTATCATTTGCAAATTTGAGAGAACAATTTTAAATGAACCCTTTCTGCTAGCCCGGAGGGGCTTTGAGTTGCCTCCTGCAGACAGTCCCCAGGGCGGGGGACACACTGTGGGTGGGCTCAAGTTTGGGTTTTGAGCTCTCCCGCCAGTGCGTGGCTCTGATCCTCCAGTTCCTGACTGTAGAGCGGGTTGACGGGGATTAACTCTAAGTCTGGACCCTTGTGAGTGTTAGCCACTAGGGGCGTCCGGCCCGAGGGTGGCCCTTCCTGTTTCCGCTGCTAGCAAACAGCAGGAGCTCCTGCGGGTGTGGTGGGGCGTTGCTGGGGGACGCGGGGCCGCCCGCAGGAGGGCGCACCTCTTTCAGCTTTTTGGCCCAGGGCTTCTGGGCCTTCCGAAAGCCGTCCTCAGCCTCTTTGGTCTCCTTGAAGCCTCCCATCATCTGCTTGTGGAAGGCCTCCTTCTGCCAGTTCTTGATCTTCTCAAAGTCCCCGTTCATCAGCGAGGCCTTCACATCCAGGTGCAGCTCGCTCACCTTCTCCGCCTCGGACATGACAGCCACCCAGGCCTTCTCCACTGTCCCGTACTGGGGCCCTGCATGGACAGAAGCGGGGGGTCACTGCCACCGCGGGGGGACAGGCCCCGGGTGCCTGTCAGCCTCCCCCGCTGTCGGGGGCTGGGGGACAGCAGCCTGGCTGTCTGGCTGGGAGGCTTCCTTTGGGCTGATTCAGGTATTTTTCTCTCAGTGGCTGTTCCTTTTTCAGTTCCTAGGATGACGAAAATAAGGAACTGAGGCTGAATCAGCCTGGCCTTCTTTTATAAGGAAACTTGGGGAATTACCCAAATTTCCTTTTCTTTAAAGTGACCAGGTTCTTCAAAAACCCGAATTTCTGAAGTTTTCATTTGCGTAAGGCTGGCCCTATAAGGAGGGGCCCCATGAAGTGAGCGGACCCCTCTCCCGGGCCACTGCCCCGGGGGGCTCCGCAGCATCGCGGCCCCCGGCTGACCGCAGGCCCTCCGAGGGCAGGCGCTCTGCCATTGACTCCCAGCGAGAGCCGGCTCCGAGCAGGGACTCGGGAACTGCCTGTGGCGTGGAGGACTGTCCCCTCGGCAGAACAGAAGCCCTGGCTTGGTGGGGGAGAGGTGGAGGCAGGAAGCAGCTCTGGCCCAGATGGAAACCTCTAGAGTGTGGGAAGGGGGTGCCTGACTCACTTCGCTCCCTGTTCTCAGGAAGGAAACTCATAATCCGCCTGTCACTTTGAGGGTGTGGGGCGGCAGGAGAGGAGGGAGGGGCAAAGAGGTAGAGCTGGGGCTGGAAATGGAAGCCCCGGGTCCTGTCTCCAAGGTGCTCACAGGGGACAATGACTGTTTGGGCTGGGCACCGACAGAGAGGCACTGGCAGGGTGAGGAAGACGGGGTGACTGTGGGGGGGGGCCCCTCTGGACCTCTAACCCCTCGTGCCTCTGAGACCAGCAGCTCCCTGTCCCGCCTCGGTCTGCAGCGCTGGGCAGTGTCCACAAGGGGAGGGGCAAGCGCCCTGTGGACCCGCAGCAGGGAGTGGACAGCGGGGCTGTGCTGACAGCCGGCTCCCGAGAGGCCGAAACGAAAGGTGACGGCTGCCCCGCCGCTGGCATCCCCTCTGCGCCCCTCTGCGCCCCGCCCCACAGACAAGCCGTTCCAGCAGCGGGGCAGACAGGACGCTGGTCCAGGCCCGGCTGAAGCAGCCGGGGGCCTTCCCCTCCGAGCCCCCTGGCCCTCCAGGACCCTCCGCCCAGTGGCCTCACATCCCCTGGGGCTCCCTTCCAGGACAGCGGTCCTGGAGAAGAACCTGCTCCAGAACACACCCTGAGGAACTCCTACTAACCCGCTCTGTCTCAGGAAATCCCATAATCCACCAAGCTCCCCCTCCGCTGCTGGGAAGTACGTTCTGAGCACAATCCATACCCACAGCAGCGTTCTGTCACTAAGCTCCAGGGTCTTCTGTTTGGCTTGGGGGCAAGACAGGCAAAAACCTGTTATTGCATTAAAATCCCAAATCAGAAGCCCTGCTGGGCATCACAACCCAGCCCCATAGGCACCCCAGGGCCAGGCCCCTGGGCCAGAGCCACAGCTGGGCAGCCAGGCCCTGTGCCGACAGGGGAGTCTCAGGCTTGGGGCCCTCGGTGAGCTGTGTGAGTTCAGCTGGCAGGAGTGGCGCGCCCTGGGCATGGCGGGGGCTGCCACCGGGCTCGGTGCTGTCCCCGGGGTAGTCCTGGTGTAAGCGCAGGGGAGGAGTCTCGTGCCGCCCGCGCTGCTGGGTGGCAGTGCCTTGCAGCTCCCCCCAAACCCGTCGCGGGCCCACAGCTGCGCGGCGCAGGGCCCTACCCTTCTCCACGAGCTGCCGCCAGCGCCGGGCCCACTCGGTGAGCTGCTGTGCGTACGCCTTCTCGATGCGCGCCCGCTCATGCAGGCAGTTCATGAGGTCGCTGCACAGGCGGTGGCCGTCGTCGATCCGCTTCACCGTCCGCTTATAGTTCCCGACCTGGGAGACAGAGGCCACACGGGAGGCGTGGGGCCGGGGCGGCGGCCACCTGCCAGCCCTCCCGGGGGCGGGGGGATGGCCTGACCCTCGCTGATCCAGTTTACTCTTGTATTATTATTTAGAAATTGTATTATTTTCCATACGAACTGTAAACCTATTTTTGCCCCACCCTGTGTTGAAATTATAACTCTTGAAGTCTGACAACCAGCAAGGAATACGGGCAGGATGCTTCCAGAAGCGCGTGCTTTATGGTTAAGAGCTGGCGCTGGGGCCCGCAGGCAGAGGGGGCGCTCGGGGCAGCAGGCTGAGGTGCGCCGGCCACGTCTGTCCTGCGGGCCTTGCTCAGTGGAAAGGCCTGGGACAGACTGTCGCTTTAGCCCACACAGAACACTCAGGGGTCACTGTCTCCATCTCCACGAACCGCCTGGCAACAGAGAGCCGTGGCCATCCGGCTCCCCTGCACAGGGCGCTGGTGGCCCTCCCAAGCGCGGGGCCACCGACAGCCTTTTCTCTACATTGGGATCAGTCCGCAAACACACCCTCCCAGCCACACGCAGACGAGTCAGGCGAGTGTACACCGCATCCCACGCGGCTGCATCAAGGCACAGAGTAGTTCTACCTCCCCGCGTGGTCCTGGCCACCACAGCTCTGATACCTGCCCCTCCTCCAAGGTGTCCAGGACGAATGGGATCACACAGTGGTAGCCTGGCTTTCGTGACCAGCTCTGTCTCTTGCCACAGTTCTTTTGAGACTGAGCCATGCTGCCGTCTCTGCTCCTTCCTTTTCATCGCTAAGTAGGATTCTACTGCCTGACTAGGCCATCGTTTGTTTCTTCTTCATCCTGTTGAAGGACGTGTTTTCAGAGTGGGGGCGATTATACACAGAGGAGCTATGAACGTCCACCCACAGGTCTCTGTGGGGACGCAGACCCTCATGTCTCTGGGGTGAGTACCTAGGAGTGGGGTTGCCCTATGGTAAGCGCACACCTAAACTTAAAGAAATTACCTGTAATCCAACATGGCTATGCCATTTTTTTCTATTTTTTTAATTGAATTTATTAGGGTAGCGTTGGTTAGTAAAGTTCTATGGGCTTCAGGTAGCTGTGCCATGTGAACGTCCACGAACCACACACAGGAGTGCCGATGGCTCTGCCTTCTCACGGGCACTTGGTATTGTCAGGTTAAAAAAAAATTTTTTTTTTTTAATTTTAGTCATTCTGTTTAGTATATAGCAATAGTTCAGTGTAATTTAATTCGCATTTTCGTAATGTTTAGTGATACTGAACAGCCTTTCTTGTTCCTATTTGCTACCTGTTTTCTTTGGTAGGACATGTTCTTTTTATACTTTTTAAATGGAGATATAATGACATGTTTTTAAGAGGCAAGAAAATTAATTTTCAAATATATGACAAATGGATCATACGCTGAAGTCAGGACATATGTGGTTAGCTATTTCTGCTTTATCAGTTTGTAATTAAAAATCTTCTCTCTTGCTTTTCGAAACACCATCTTGTTGTGAGATGGCCAAATGGCAGATAGTGTAGGAACTGGAAATAAGCTTTCTCCCAAGTCTGTCATCACTAGATTCATTCACAAAATGCCCATTTTTTTAAACTAGGGCCAAAGCCGTCTGTGTCCCTAACTTCCTCTAAATTCAGGTGCTCCCGCAGGTACCAAGGCCCTGAAGACGGACGCTGAACACGCACGTGCCCGGGAGCAGGGCCACGAGGCCATCCTCCGCTCCGGGGACTGCCTGCCGGGGAGGGGAGGGGCGGGGAGCTGTGCTGAGGCGGTGTCCCAGCTGAGTTCCCCAGGACAGGCAGGAAGCTGGCCACGTGAATGGAGAGCTGAGGGAAAAGACCCCAGGCAGAGGGAGCGGTGTTGGCAAGGTGAAGATGTGACAGCGCGGAGACCTGGGGGCGCTGTGCCACCCACCAGGAACAGAACACAGAACACGGAACACAGAGGAATGAGGCGAGATTGGCCGGGGGCCTGTGCAGGGGGCGGGGTGGGAGGCGGCATCGGACAGCGAGCCATCTCCCAGGCGGCCTTCATCCTGAAGGGGCTGTGCTCCGGACTGGTGGGCTTCGGCGGGGTGAAGCTCCCAGAGGGAAGGTGTGACAGACAGCGCCTCCTGAAACTGGGGCTATGGCATTGGCTGGCCCCCCCCGCCCCCCGCAACACAAGCCCTAACATTAGAAAGGGGGAGGGGACTAGGTGTGAAGGGCAGGGAGGCAAACGGAGATGGGTGTTGACGAAGTGGTCCCATGCTACCTTTCCCAATTCCAGCTCCCAAGGCTCAGCTCCGCCTCCCCACCGAGGCCCCCCGCCCCCTGCCGGACCCCCACAGGGAGCGCCTGTATTTCCTGCACAGGGGCGAGACCCACCCCCACCCCAGGCTCCTGCTGGCTGCTCCTTCCCGGGACCACAAGGGCCCTTCCACACACTGTCCCTGTGCCCCGCAGTCGCAGCTTGTCCCACGGGGGTATTGACCGTGCATGGCAGCTCCCTGCTCCACCGCCTGTGGCTTCCTGCCCGCAGGTGCCACACACTGTCTTTCCCCAGGAGTAGCATCACAATAGAGCCTGTCTACGCTTGGCATGTGCCACACGTGCCACATCACCAAGCCTTGTCATAATCCTCGGCAGTGGGTCCTATTAGTGTTCCCGTTGTACAGAAAGGGAAACTGAGGTTTGAAGAAGCACAGTCGCCCACGATCATGCAGCCAGGAGGAGGCAGAGCCCACCTTACGGAACCTTCCTCAGGCTGAGAACAGAGAAGGCGTAGAGTCTAGACTTAATGGGTCGGTATCGGGTGGCGTGTGCACTTCCCACCAGCCCCACAGATTCAGGGAGGCCGCAGAGGTCACGCCGGTGAGGCAGTGGGCGGGCCCTGGTCCTGGCCCTGCCAGGTGCCGCTGAGGCTTGTGTCCAGCACCCCAGACCGGACAACTACTAAGCACGCTTGCCCACGCTGCCATCATTTTTCCCTCAGAGCCTCATGCGCTGGGCCCTGTGGCCCCGAGGGCCTACACACACGCCCACACCCGCGGCCCGGGGCTGGCCAGCTGTGCCGAGCACACAGGACAGAGGAGACGCCCCGGCAGTGCCCTCGCCCGGCAACCCCACGGAGCTGCAGTCACAGGTTTCATCCAAAGCCGATGAGGCATGCGAGGCTCCAGAACGTTCTCAGTTGGCTTGAAAGGCAGGATGAAAGGTGACCCTCTGGGCTTCCTGAACTCCAGGCCTGCAGACGGCAGCGAGGGCGGCTACGTGAGCTCGTGCCCTCTGGTTTGGGTCCCTCAGTTCCCAGCCTCCATGGCGGGGCCTCCTCCCCGCAAAGGCCTAGCTCCCTGCATTTCTATTCCTCCAGCTGGAAGGGGCGGTTAGAGCTGACGCTGCGAGGACCCAACGCACCGGGAGCAGTGGGTCTGCAGGACAGGCTGGGGGTCTCCCCAGTCAGGTTCCCTCCTGGCCTGGCATGGCCATCATTTGACAAGACCCAGCCATTTCCTCACCTTGTCCATTCAGACAGAAAATGAAGCGGGGGGGTGAGGGGGGACGGGGTGACTTCCAAGAGCCCTTCCCAGCCGCAGGGTTTCTCACTGAACAGACTCTGCCAATGCTGCCAGCTGGCAGGCTACCTGCTGCAGCATGGCTCTCAGTTTCTGAGGGTCTGGCAGCACCCTCTTGCAACTCACAAACATGTAACCAACACCTACTGTGTGTCAAGGACTGCGCAAGGGACTAGAGATACAATGATGAACCAGCTGTCATGGTCCCCTGCTTCGCGGGACTACGGTCAGATAAGTAACACAGTGACGGGGTGACGAGGTCTAGAAGGAACACTCTGGGTGGGCAGACTGCCTGCAGGAAGTGATGCATGAGGTAAGAGTCAAAGGGAACTCTCCGTGGCAGGGCCCCCTCTGAAGGCCTGAGGCAGGACGTGGAGGCCCAGACCAGTGCGCTGCTCTCGCATCACCCTCCTTGAGGCGGGGCCACGGCTGCCCCACCCGCCCGCCACCCCTCCTGCACGACCTGCCTTCATACTTCTCGGTCCCCCAGACCAGGCACACGGAGGCCCTGCAACATCTTCTCAATGCCCGGTGGCACTGGGACCAGGGTGTCCCAGACTAAGAGGCGGGGCAGGGGCGGGGGGCGCGGGCCAAGGAGCTGCCGAGGGCTCAGAGGTGTGAGGGGGCTCGAGATTGTTAGCGAGCTCTTAATCCAGGGAGTCCCTCAAGCTCTCCCCACAAAAGCTAGACAGAATCAATCCTCAGCGCGCCCGCAGAGACTCCACGACGACAAACACGACAAACGGGCAACGACCGGCACACCTCCCGCCGAGCTGGTGAGAGCCACTCAGGAGCCCTTCCTGCCACCCCAGCGGAGGGCCTCGCTGTCACCCCGCTGAGCGGCGGGCGTTCAGTGAGACGCAGGGGCTGAGCCAGCCTCTCCCTGAGTCGTCGGGAGGGTCTGAGGACTGGACCTGGCGGTGTCGCTGCCTCCCACCCACATTCCCCGCAGAGCGCACGGCAGAGGCCACATCCTGGACACCCTCCGCTGGGCGTCCCCACGGGGACAGCACGCGGCCTCCTAGCCAAGGCCCCTTTCTTACACCCTATCCCAACCCCACTCTGAACTGTCCTTTCCAAATAAGAGGGTCACAAACAATGGCAGGGCTGTGAAATCTGACATGTGCTTGAAACGCCAAGGAGCGTGGGTCCTCTTTGGAGGACCCCAGGCTGTGCTCTGCCAGTGCTCCTGCCGTCGGGTGCCACTTCTCCTCCGTCTCCAACCTGCCTTCCACTCGCCCCACCTCAGGCTCCCAGCTCCCCCGCCCCCGTGCTCCCTGGACCATGGCCGGACTTGCCAGAAGCTCACTGAGCCCCTGCCCTCAAAACAGAGGTGGGGGGCTGCTATTGGCTGAGCAGGGCCCCGAGGGGCTGGACAGTGAGTCCCTTGCCCGCCTGCTGCTGTTGCTGTTTGTTAGCTGCCTCAG